ATGGCGCATAATTTCTCTGTCCTTACATGTTCCTGGCTCACTCTCATCAGCATTGGCAACAAGACAAGAAGGACGGCCATCAGATACTTTTGGCATGAAAGACCACTTCAGGCCAGATGGAAAACCAGCTCCACCACGGCCTCGAAGACCACATTTCTTCATTTCATTGACAATCCAATTAGAGCCCCTAAGTACCAAGTCTTTAGTTCTATACCAGTCACCCCGCTTCAAGGACTGATTCCGGCAGGTCATGTAAGGGAGCGGAGAGCACCTCGAATTGGCGACGATATCCCTTAACAGTAGAAGACTGATGTAACGAGAAGAGCTGCTCCTGTAAATTACCCTCCTGAGTCGATCGAAAACGTTCAAGGAGAAGCTCTTTGAATTCTGTCCAACCACAAAAAGGTCGCCGACCAACTTCCCGGTAATACCACGCCAATGCATTGCCCTCTAAACAGACAACTGCAGCTCGCAGACGCTCTGCTGGAAGCAATCCATTAATCTCAAAATAGTGCTCCGCACGAAAAAGCCAGCCGTCTGGATTTTCCCCATCAAAAATAGGTAACTCCAACTTCCAAGGAAGTGAATCAGAAGTATGTTCCGACACCGACATCGAAGAAGACATCGGAAAAGCTGCACTCTTCCCTTTGTCAGCCGCACGACTCGATGCGACTAAAGGAGGAGCAATGTCAGTCGTAGACAAAGGAGCTGAATAGGTCTGTTGCTGAAGCAACAGATCAAAACGTCTTACAAGAACCGACACATCCTGAGTATGGTGAGATCCCTTCTGCTTGACTCCCATGTTCTTGTCACCTTTTGGGTGGAGGTGGCCAGCACTGTTGTGTATCTCACTAACATCATTCCATCTTCAGTTCTTGGTAATCCTATTGTCTCATTCATCATTCTCCAAACTATTCTACACTTCACGTTTTTGGTTGCATTTGTCTTATGTGTCTTCCTCCCCATGAGCACACTAAACTCATTGCTCAATCAGCTATGTGTACCTTTATGGGGTATAGTTTAGAACATAAAGGATTTCTCTGTTATGATCCTAAAGTTTGTCATCTCCGTATATATCGAAATGTTATCTTTCTTGAGAATTTGTCCTTTGAATATGTTTTGTTAAATTACTTGCACCATCTTTCTCTGTTCTACATAACTTTACTCTTGCAGGTGATTCAGTCTTGCCTCTTCAAGTCTATCTCAGGAAGTATCAACTACACCAACACCTATGCCTCCTCCTCCCTCATCAACCCCGATGCCTATTCCTCTAACATCCTCAAACCCTATACCATCCACATCTACTTCTCATGTAAGTGATCCTTCACCTCCTACTCCCACTGCTTTACGACGCTCTTCCAGAGTTACTCGTCCTCTTGACCGTTATGGATATTCTGCTATCCATAGTTCCCTTTCTACTACTTTGTCTTCCATAGATATCCCCAAGTCTTACCAACAGGTTACAACAATTAGGCATTGGAAAGTTGCAATGGACTTGGAAATTCAGGCCCTATTGGAAAATGATACTTGGGAGCTTGTTTCTCCTCCACCAAATGCCTCTGTTATTGGAAGTCGTTGGGTGTACTTAGTGATGACTTGGAAGGGATCACTCAGTTGAAGCAGCTTCTCAGTCAATCCTTCAAAATGATGGATCTTGGTCCTGTGACCTACTTTCTTGATCTTGAGATCACCCGAAGTGCCCGAGGGTATTTTTTTAATCAGCACAAATATGCTAGTGACTTGATTAAGATGGCCAATCTCTTTGACTCAAAGCAAGTTGATACCCCATTGGAACTCAACCTAAAGCTCAGTAAAGATGATGGATAACTCCCCCAAAATGCTCGAGGATATTTTGTTAATCGGCACAAATATGTTAGTGACTTGATTAAGATGGCCAATCTCTCTAACTCAAAGCAAGTTGATACCCCGTTGGAACTCAACCTAAAGCTCAATAAGGATGATGGACAACTCCTTTCTGGTGCTACATTATATCGTCTACTTATTGGAAACCTTATTATGAATCGACCAGACATATCATATGTTGTGGAGATAGTTAGCTAGTTGGTAACAACTCCTCGACAACCTCATTTCTCTGCTATGCTTTGGATTATCAGATATGTTAGAGGTACCTTATCTCATGGACTTTTCTTCTTATCTTCCTCATCTCCTTAGTTGACTGCTTATGCTAATGTTGATTGGGTTGGTTTCCCTGACACCAGACGGTCCACTACTGGCTAGTGTGTTTTCTTAGGTGATTTCCTCATCTCTTGGAAGTGCAAGAAACAACAGACAGTCTCCAAATCATCTACTGAAGTCGAATACCATTTCATGTCCTCTGTTTGTAGTGAGCTTGTCTAGCTTAAAGCCCTTCTTCATGATTTGACCCCTGGCAATGTCGCATAGCTCTTCCTTTTTTTGGTAGACAATAACTAGTAAATAATTCCCAGATAGCAGCAAAGCCTTTCGATATCTTATGATAAGCCAGTCGAATAGAACAAAAAAAGAGGGAAGGCTTTCACCCGCCTTGGAACAGGGTGTAGAATAGAACATTAGTTTGAGCATACTTAGCGCCTAGCTCTTTCTGCTTCAATGGTGGCATCAGCTGCGTCTAGAAAAACCTTTAGTTTCTGCGTCTCGTTCTGCAGATTCGTATTCAGACGGGGATGGGAATGCTAATACGTATGTTGTTCTAGTTTATTTGTGTTGTCAAAGTACACGCTAAGTCTTACTTATGCTCTGTTATAGGGTGGCTTCCTAAATGAAATCCATCCCACTTCGGAGCARATGTCATGCTCATAGCAACCGAATCATGCTGATCACTCAGCTCCTATTCCTTTATTTTCTGACAACACGAATGTAATCAAAATTGCCTCAAATCCAGTCTTCCATGAACAGACTAAGCACATATAGGTGGATTGTCATTTCATTCAAGATCTTCTCACTACTAATCACATCACATTGCCTCATGTGTGGAGACTGTACACACCCATCCATATAATATATAATAATGGACAGTTCTGTCCTTACAAGAGAAAATATGTATAGTAATGTACAAAGAAGTAATACAAAAAAGCCAAATAAAAGTAAAATTACAAGGTTACTCCTCATCCTCTCTACAGTTGATACCACGTACCAGTACACAAAAACCAAATCACCAAAGCGGTAAGATACTGCCCACCAAGCTGCAAGTTCACAAGGACAGAGAAAAACAGAAAAAAAAAAAATAAGAAGAAGAAGAAGAAGAACTGCATCTGTTCTTTACCTTATAACCTACCTTGAACGCTTCCTTAGCATAAACCGTAGTAGTTAACTAGAAACAAGTGAAAATAAAAGTTCATAAAGTGAACTACTCAGTAGAGAGGAATTTATTTGAACCACCCTTGCATTTATCTACAGGAAATGATATGTCACACACACAAAGTACATGTTTTTTTGCAAAACAAGAGAGTTCAGTGACGAAAAGACAAAAACATTAGACGCTCACAAAGCTCATTAATCTTGATGAAAATCATCTAAAGGATAGAAAGCCACCAATTAAATACTTGAAAAATTAAAATAAAATAACAAACACTTAGTTCTTCGACTCAACAAATGCAGAGTGATGTTTGTAGAATTGCTCCAATCAAATTAAAACAAAATAAACCATCAAGCATCCACTGAAACAACAAAACAGACAGAAACAAGAGCAAAAACAGAAACCTTACCTGCATAAGCCATGGCTTGTTCAAGCCAGCATGCACCCAATACAAGGAGAAAATGAATAATAATAAGAACAAGAAGTTCTTCATATTCACTTCACATTTGATAACGACTTGTTCTTCCAATCTTTCTAGGTATACATGGGACCCATAAACCATTCCGGAAAAGCAACAGGGAAAGATGTGGTGGCACCCGTATCAATGTGGCTTTGGCTACTTGGCACAGAATGAGAATCCCATCCACCACCATTATCATCTTGATCACTGTTACAATCACTTTTTATTAATGGAGGAATTATTTGGATTATCTTATCCCCAAGTGTAAGAAGCTTCTCCATCAAATCACCACGCTTTGCCATGATTATATTCTCTTTATCTCGCCCTGCTGCTCTCTTTTTTACATCTTTTTTTTTTCTGAAATTCTGCAATTCGGAATCCCACGAGGAATAGTTTATTCATGGAATTTGATCTGTAATCGTATAATCGGAGGCTTTCGGCAACAGTCTTCAACTCTGATCCTTCGGTACTCGACAGTGGTAACTCGGCCAACCCGGAAATCCGTGTTGCTTTTTCTTTTATTCTTTGACCTTCAGAGAAAATAGTCTGCAAGGCAAGATCGTTAGTGCGGGAAACGAAGCTCAAAGCCTCAAAAGTGAATGAGACCGGTCTTCTCTTCTGGTCCCTGACAAGACCGATAGGCATGAGTTGGGGTCTCCGTTAACCCTCTTAGTGAACCGCAATTTTGGAATTTTGTGTGATATCGAATGCCAGGAATGGTCACGATTTGATAACGGTCCCTCACATGTGCACGAAAACAAAAGGACTACTTTTCACCGGTGTGTTGTTGTCTCATGGGAACATGACAATACAAAGTGTAATTCGTAAAGGGTGATGATTCAGCGGGAGCGGTCACGCTGAGTAAACGGTGAGATCCCTAACGTTTTGGTCACTTATTGGTCATTAGTTCTGAAAATATATATATATATATATTTTAAAAGTCTTAAATTTTGGGCCAATGAATGATGAACACATGGCTTCTCGGCCTGACCGTGACCTGTTCCCATGATTATTGCCAAGTGCAAGTGCGGATGGCCCCTAGATTTTAAGAAGGGCCAATCTGACATAAAAAAAGGTCCCCCTCGCTTGTGAGTCTAAGTGATTGTGAAGGGCCTGATGAGTGATGACGATGTCCATATCACCAGCATTGCAATGCATATTTGGGCTGGTTGATAATAGCTGAAATGGCTGAACTGAAGGAATTATTGTTGCCTTTTAGGTTTCTTTCCTTTTCCTATCTTTTCTTTTAAACCAAACACAGCATTAAGAGCAGATCCGGTCTCTGTTTCTCATAGAAGACACCTCACATGCACATCCTACCATGTATTGGGAACATCTCCTGTACTTTTGAGTTATTATTCATGGGAGATGTTTCCAATGCATGGTGGATGTGCATGTGAGGCACCCAATTGTAAGGAACAGATCCGGTTCCAAATTAGAGACTCCATTACCATTTCTGGTGATTCCCCATTTGAGGGAATGGCCATTCCCTCCGCCCCCACTCTTGGGAATGAAAATCCACTCCAGTTGATTCCAATTCCCAATGAACAAAACAGGTAAGAAGAAATGAGGAATATATCATTCTAATTCCGATTTCATAATTTTAATTTCCAATTCGAACTGTGAAACAAACCCTTAATTTACCAAAATAATTGCAATAAAAAACCAAAACATGTCACCGAACACTGACATGTTCAAAACTCACTGGGGGTTGCAGGAAATGTTCTCTCCTTCTCAGAAGGGCTCGGTCAATACAGTTCAATGAATGGTGAAGCCCTCACAATTCCAAAACGGACACTAATTGTAGCTATTTCTTTCAGAAGTTGGAAGTATTTTTTCTATAGTTTGCTACTATTCAACCCTTGTCAAATCTATAGTTTATATTTCTTTCATTTTAGTTATATATATATATATAATCCCATATCTTTATTTAATTTCTTTTTTGGGTATTCGGTGCCATGCATTATTAGTAATTTCCCTTTTTCCCTAAAGTACTGGTTGCGAGATTTGATTTTACATCAACACTAAAACAAACCAGCTAACACACCAACAAACCAACCCTAAACTGGTTATTTAACTCTAATAGTTCTTGCCAAACATTGGTCGTGATTCATGAATGCAGATCACTAAAGTGGCACATTATCTTTATTTTCCAGTAGTACGCATACAAAGGAATAGAGAATTCACGTGTCTGAAATCTAATCAACATAATTGCACTTTGTTAAAGGCAAAATTGTAGAAATGAGAGCTCATTGTTTGACAATGATTTTCATATAAATGAAGTGATACTTCCCAATCTGCTATTCCTCGTCATTTCTCACCTTATTGGTTAGTTAGAACTTATCTGTTCAACCATGAAAAAGAGTGGTGTTTCATCAAGTTGTCTATCCACATCCATAAAAATTTCACTAAAGAAAGGAATCATCTCATTACTATAAGCAAGTAAATCATATAAAATATAAAGATAGAGATGAAACATGAAAAGATTAGTGTTTCCTTCCTTTATATGCAATCGTCATATGTAGCAGTGGTTTATACTTTCCTATAAAAGGGAATTCTTGAACAGATGAACAGATGGATAGTTCCCCCTTTTGTTTTGGTGGTGGGGGCAGTAGGGAGGAATTTGTTATTCTAGGATTGATTTTTTATTCACAAATCACAACGTAAGTTGGCCGTGACTTTTGAAACTCCATTAGCTTCTTTCTGTTTTCAGTGCAATTTAAATTGCACTGATAAAAAGAATGCAAATTCTGGTGTAATTTTGTTTGGGTGTTGCTTCATTCTGCTTCATGTCTTATTTTATCTCATAAGCACTGCAATCAAACAAAATAAGGTAAAAGTGTTGAATAAAAAATAAATCAGACTTTGCACTCAAGTGATGTGCACTACCATGGACTTTTGCATCAGCGCAAATGAATTATCTGCAAACAAACCAGGCCTAAGAAACAAGCAATGCAGATTCAACCGGTCCACCGGTCTACCAAGTCACTACTTACCTATAGGCAAGTAGCCTGCCCTCCTTGATTCCATTTCTTCTTTGTAGAAGTATAAAAATAAGGATACAAGTTAAGAAAAGACATTACTGTGATAAAATAGAAAGAAATATCGATTTCCTTCTTCCAATAATGTGATTGGAGATGTAGCAATTTCTTCACTCTATGTAAGGCATTAAGAAGCTCTTTTAATGAAAATATTCAGCGTTTCTCTTTGCATTTGATATCATGAATTTACCATGTAAAATTGGTTCATCATATGCAAGAATCAAAATTTTCAGTATCTTGGGGACTGTCAATGTTTCAAATATAAGACAGGAAGATTGTGATGAATACCGATGAGACCAGATTAATATATGCCAAAAAATTATAAGTAAAAGCAAAAGCAAAGGTACCCAAACAATATGCAAAATTTGTTCTTACATCATCTATACAAGGGCATTTTTTTTTAAATAAAATTTATCTTGTTTATTTTCAGTCATACTTGTACTGAGAAACCTAATTTGATGATATAAAAGCTAATTTGTTCGCCAGGACTGTATTCAGTGAACTGATAGTAATGAAATTTCTAAGGATTTTCAGTGGATGTAGGCATATAACACCCCACCCACATTAAATCTTATGTGTCCTCCATTTACAATTTTTTTCTTAGTTTCTATTGGTTTCTCTAACAACAGCTACACAAGGAATTTCTACCTTTATGAAGCAACAGACGTGAGTGTGCAGTGTTTTGGTTGCATCACCAAGTACACTTTAGCAGTTGTAGCTCTGAAGTCTGAACCTTTTAAGTTCTAACTGAAAACAGATTTGTTTGGTTTGCATCACCAAGTACACTTTAGCAAACTGAACTGGTTAAACTTTTTGCACTGAAGCAAATTGAGGTCTTTTTCCAGACCCACGTGCACCACTGTGATCCTGTCCTCTCTAAGAGAGACGTTACTTGTTGGCAAACCACATTCTTTTAGCAAAGGCAAAGAGCCATACTTTGTGTGGGCCAATTAGGAACTAAATTATAGTTCCACAAAGTTTTTGATCCACACCAGAAAATGAAAAAGGTTTTTTCTTCAATCAGATCAACTAGTCTTCTCTTGTGGAAGATACATAATTACATACTATTTCTATATGTCCATAGATGGTGTCACCAATTCAGGTTCCAACTGGTAGAGGATCCACTGTACTTCTTTGACTGGTCTTCACTTTTTAAATTCACATTATCTCCTCTTTTTGAAGATTTTCCAAATGATATCAACCGTCCAAAGTTTCAATCAAATAATCCAATTAAGATGCTTTTTCAAATATTTGCTGCATGTTTAACAAAATTCCAATCAATCACATTAAAAACATCGTATGATCTATTTATTTTTCATTCGTGTACACAAGAGGTACTTGTCATTAAGACTTCAACAATGTTAAAGGTATCAGCTGTGGTGTATCATTTTATCATTGATTCACCTTTTTTGCTAGTGCAGTTCATGCACGATAATTTTTCCTTCCGTCTTTTATCCAAACCAACCCACCAATTCAGCTAGGGGACCGCCATGATGAATATCCCTTATTTTTCAAATTACAGGCTATTTTTGGATATGCGGGAAAAACTCTAGTGCTGAAACTTGACCAATGAATCAGGAGTGGAAACTGGAGAGAGGAACTCGTAGACGCTCAGGTCAGCTTCGTTTAGTTTCTCACAATGTTTTAAAAAATAACTTAGAATTGAAACCGTTTTAACCATCGGTTTTTGGATTGACAGTTCGATCATCCAATTCAATCAGATAGCCTGTTCTGACAAAAAAAAAATTAAAAAATTAAAAAAACAACCAAAACCGTTGAATAGGTCAAACGGGTTGACGGTTCAACCACCTGGATCAATGGGTTATTGACCAATTCAACCACCCAGGTCAATGGGTTATTGACCAATTCCACGGTTCTTGACCAAGGGCTGGGTTTGGGGTATAATGGAACCGGTTGCCTGGACGATTCTCAGGCCGAACAGTCCCAAAGTTCAAAGTATCGACACGTATCGGCCCATATCGACCAATACGTGTCGTTACTGGACCCCTCCGTGTATCGGAGGTCTGACCGGTTCAGGGGGTAGAAAAAACCTAAACCGACCCCCCTAAACCGGTTGCAAAAAAAAAATAAAGACTCCAAAATGTGTATTGATTCGCCCGATACGCCCCTATTGACGTAACAGGCGTATCGATATTTTGAACCTTGAACGGTCCTACCATCTGGGTCAACGGCGGTTAGAAAACATTGGTTTCTCATAAGCGACGTACTCTTCTATCCTTCGATGATGATTTCTTCCTAGCTAGAGTCAAGCCAACCACTGAAATCCAACTTAGCTTTGCCTTGTCCTGTTATCCATTCAGCCCCGAGAGACCGAGACACTTCCAGCTCCAGGTTAAAACATAAAAGGATGGTTAAATCACGAATTGATATCCCCTTTCCAAATGCCACAGTGCCCCCAAGACCGAAATGGAATAAAGTACACCCCCTTGTTCACCTAATAAGGTGTACTTTAGGAACCCGGATAGGCATCTTGTCCATCAGGGCAAATATTTGAATGGGAAAAGCTTACATAACATAAGCACCATGTGGTTAATGGATTAGAACATATTTTGGTGAGATAGATTCATAGAAACAACTATAATAGTATCTGTAAACTAAACAAAGTGGATTGTGGGGAAAAGTAGCAATATAGATGGATGTGTATGAGAGAGAGAGAGAACAAATAAAGGCATAAGATATCATGAATATTTTAAGTGAAAAGAAGATTGGGAATAGAAAAAGGGGGAGTTTTAAGTCTCCCTTTGATACAAGATAATGGATAAACACCATCGGTAACAAGAAACTAAAAACCATCACCATTGGCTCTACTCCTACATTTCTACTAACTTTTCAGATCAGACATTCCGAGAAGGGTTCACTTGATAGCTTACAGCTCAATATTTCCTTTTCAGCATAATAGAATAAAATGAAAAATCAAATTGGCCTTTGCTCATTTATCAATTTCTAGTTCAAGCAATGTGGAGTTTCATTTACGCACAAACCCAGTCTGAGAACCAGCAATATATCCTTGAGTATACACCGTATTCTTGAACATCATCTGCAATGAAATTCCTATTATTGGCTGCAGAATGCAACAAAAGGAAAAAAAAAAAGAAACAGAAAAGGAACACTTGAAATTGGAGAAAAACATAATACAGAAGAATGATGGTTTGTTGTGGACAATTGGACTGCAGACATAAAGTGACGTAAGGTTAAACTGGCTATGGCTTCTCTCTAATATATCACAACTGTGAGAACTAAGGTCAACAATCATAAACAATCATAAATGCAGTTTCAACGGAACAGAAAATGAAGCTCCTTTTCCTTTTCATCTTAAATATAAATTTCGGCCAATTTCTCAATAAATTTTTTATTAAGATGGGAAGACATGATTAATGAAGCCAGCCAACCCCATTAGATGGGACAAGGCTCAGATGATGATGATGACAGCAGCAGTTAGTAACACCAATACTATGACCACTACCAACAACATCAACATCCACCGAATTTTCTAGAGGGAAGTTCCCCACCCCCAACCTAGAACCCTAATGAGCTATAACAATTTATAACCCATTGCATTATGAAATTTTAATGCATTACTTTCAAATAGAAAAGACATAGATAACTGATCTTTACTACTAATATTTTGGGTATAACACTATTACAATGGCTTATATAACTGTCAGCATCTTTAATTTGATTGATGTAGCAATACTCACAGCTAGGCTTTCCACATCCAAACTCAGGCGTTTTCTGATACTATCAGATATCACAGTCCCAAGTTGATCTCCATGTTGTTGAATGCTGTCCTTAGTAATCTGAATTCAGTTTCTCAAGGTTAGTACATTGTAAAAGCTCTATAGATTGGGATCAAGACAGAATATGGAACCATGTGGCTCACCTCTGCAAGCAGTAGTGCAGATGTCTTATCTATAATTTCTTCAACAAATTTCCTAACATTACCATTGGCATTTAAGGGATCTGCCGCAGCCTGCTGTTTATCCTTGGTAACTGATGTAGGATTAGACTTCTTGGCTGCTTTTCCTACATCAAAGAGAACGAACATATGACTAAAATGGAACCAAAGAAAGGAAAACGCATAAGAAAATGAACATGTTAAGAAGGAAGATCAGGAAATTTATCAAAAAATAAAAAAAAAAGAAGATCAGGGAACAAATTAATGCAAAGCATAATAGGATCGTTGAAGAACTGACTATAAACCATAAACATCATATTCTTTTCTCCCTACCCTTTAGGCAGGCAATCTAACTGCTTATTTTGCAGATAGTGATGATGGATTTTTCAACCCAAGCTTATTGCACACCACAACCATGCCAAATGGAATAGGGATGCAGGAGTAACTGCTCTGATAACAATTGCTATAGAACTGGTATGGTCCTTCTCTGGACAGGTGGCAAACTAGCCATCTTCTGGAAAAACAGAGAACTGAATGTTTTCAAGATTTAGGTCCAAGTTTAGGATTTATGGGGCTAGGAGCAGGTCTAGCGAAGACGACTAAGAGTTTATCGAGGATTATAAGGCTACATGGCCAAATTATAAAAGCTATTTTAGAGATCAAATTCCTGCAATATGCAGAAACTTCTACAAGTCATAGAGGGGATTAAATATGGAGTGATTCTGAGATGGCTTAACTTGGTACAAAAAGTCAATAATTATCAAAATTAGAACTCAAACTAGGGAACTAAAATACCCTACTGTCCAAAAGTGCAGATATAATAACATTTTCAGAAAATTCCAGTTAAGATCTGTTTCCTCCTGCATCAAATGGACCAAGTGAAAACACCAGTTTGTACATTTTGGAGCAGAACCGTCCATAAACCACACCCCAATTTATAGGAATGCAGCACACCAATGTCTTTTTTACCTGTAACTGCTGCCAAGTTATTTGCCACTGGAACAGTATTTTCAGTGGGGTGTTGGACAGAACCAGCTTTTTCTGATAGATCTGGCAGTACTATTGTGCCAGCTAGAACAAGTGCAGCAAGATCAGGAGGTTGATCCTTCCCGACAGGAGGATTAGCCTATTATACAGCAGTATCATCGTTATTCAAATACATTTGAGAAAATATGTTTTTTTGTAAAAAAGAAAATATGTAATAAAGGATCAAGTGAAGTTGCTCTGTAGAATAAGTAGTGAATCACCTCCAAGTCCACATAAGATGGTTCTTTTCCAATTGAAATTAAAAACTTGTCAAGGTCACGAGAATTGACAGCTGATATGTAACATATCAAATTGTCAGTACTGTAATTAGAGGCTAATTTCAGAACAGATAAACATGAAATTCTCCTGTAAAACAGTTGCAGAATAAAATCATACATAATGGTCTCAGTTATAACCTTCCAATCAGTGCAAAGATCTGAAAATGCCATGAATGATACCTTAGCTAAACAAGGAAAACATAGGGAACAAATATTTTGGGCTCAGATTTGTGTTGTCCCTACAGTTATTTTTCTTTATTCAAAACAAAATTATTCAATTACCCCAAAGACCAAGACATTATTCATTTCTCAGAAATTATAGCACACACATTTTCCTCTATATCTATGTTGACCGTTGAACTCAACATAACAAGAGCACTCCTTTCACTTAATTTTTTTTCTTCTGTTCTCTGATCTCTCTTGCATTAACAAAATAATGCTCCATCTTGTAGTTTTCGCAATAATCATCTCAAGTGGCTTGCAAGCCTAATCAATCTCATAATAAAATACTATTTTTTAATAAATTTGTATTTATAAAATAAGTAAACATTAGTTTTTTGAAATTAATTTATTATAATATAAATATATACATTTATAATTGATTTTCATAATATATTTTATTTATAGTATTTATAATATTAACTTATCTATAATTTTTTAATATATTTCTACTTTTGATATTTTTAATATCCTTCATATTAATTTATTTATAATTTTTAATACTAATTTATTTATAATCGGTTCGAGTAGCTCATGAGTATCAACTCGATTCAGGTTTTGAGCTCTGTGTTTTTGAGTCAAGCTCGAGCTCAAGCAACTTGATACTCGGCTCAACTTGACTAGATTACACCCCTAGTTAAAGGTGAATTTTGGCCAAGTGTATTTTGTTGGGGATTAATCTGGAGAGAAATGAGGTAGAGTGTGCTGGAATATTGGGTTGTGGTGTTAGGGGGAGGCCTTCAAAATATTAAAGAATACCTTTTGGGGGGAAATCCTAAGGGTCTAGAATTTTGGGATTGGATGCTAGAGAATTTTGGTAAAAAGCTAGCCTCTTGGGAAAAGAATTACATTTCAAAAGGGGGGAGGGTGACAATGTTTACTTTGTCTAGTCTCCCAATTTTCTCCTTGTCAGTTTTTCAGGCCCCAATGAAAGTAGTGCAAAAATTGGAGAAGCCAATTAGGTTTGTAAACCTAGTGAAGTAAGGGGTTTGTGGATAGGTAGGTTTGCAGGGAAAAAAAAGCCTTTGTTAGGTAGATGGATGTGGGGATTTCCTAAGGAGAGGGAAACTTTGTGGCATTTGGTAATAGAAAGCATTTATGGTTTGCATTCCAATGGGTGGGATTCTGGAGAAGGTAGAACAGTTAATGATAGAAACCCTTGGAGAGCAATTTTGTCTTTACTCCCAACCTTTCTACAACATATAAGACTTGATGTTATTTCAGGACAAGGGGTAAAATTTTGGGAGGACATTTGGTGGGGGAGATTCTCCACTTTGCCAATTGTTCCCAAGAATTTACATGCTGTCAAATTTCAAAAACAAAACCATTGCTGAATTTTGTTCCTTTAATGAAACTGGGTTAGTATGGGACTTGGGCTTAAGGAGACCTTTAAGAGGCTTTGAAACTTATGAATTGATTCCTTTATTCAATTTACTTCAAGACATTGTCCTTACTCCTTCAGGTGTTGATGAGAAGGTTCAGATCCCATCTGTTAAAGGCAGTTTCACTTATTCATCTTTTTTAAGGTCCTTGTTAACCAAGATGAAAACCTTCCTTTTCCAGCTAAAGAATTGCAATCCAGCTCAATACCCCCAAAATAAAGGTTTTTTTGTTGGGAGGCTGCAAAGAAAATCTTAAACACCTGTTACAGACTCCAAAGAAAGTGTAAAAATTGGACTCTTTCACCCCATGTTTGTGTTCTTTGCTAGAAGAAAGGGGAAAATGCCAACCATCTGTTTTTGCAGTGCTCTTATGCTTCTCAGATTTGGCAGCACTCTCTCTTTGGTGGGAGAAGTGTAGACAGCACCCTCTGATGTGGTGGATCTATTTAAACCACATAATGAGATGTTTGAGGTGGACGAGGTGAAGGAAGCAATATTTTCTATGGATCGGCTCCAAGGCACCCAGACCTGATGGCTTTATTATGGCTTTCTACCAGGACTGTTGGGAGTGGTTAAAGGGCGATCTAATGTGAGTCTTTGAGGAGTTCTATTACATGGGGATTGTCAACAGGGGGGTAAATGCTACTTTTATTGTGTTGATCCCAAAGAAGTTTGGTGCTTGCCATCCCAAGGACTTCAAGCCCATCAGCTTGGTAACAAGTCAGTACGAAATTCTTGCTAAGGTCCTTTCCCTTCGGTTAAAAAAGAACCTCCAGTCAATCATCTCTCAATTCCAAGGGAGGGCATTGTGTGTAAGTTGGATCTGGAGAAAGCCTACGACTTTGTGGTTTTGGAGTACGTAACATGGTGCAAGTGGATTAAAGGATGCTTGCAATCCTCCCACTTCTCAGTATTGGTAAATGGAGTAGTCAAGGACTGCTTTGGTGCCCTAGGAGGAGTGAGCAAGGTTTAAAATGTCGATGTCAATGGAAATGTCACTTACCAAAATATAAGACATATGTCGGAAATGTCGGACATGTCGAGGGGAAATATTGTAAAAATTAGAGACATTGTGGAAATATTATGAAATATGTGGAAATATGCAAAGATATTTTGTAAAATGATAAAAGA